AATTTTATGGCTGATCAGTGTACGTTCAATGCTAATATATTTAAAATTCTTGTTTTCAGCATTATGCGCATGGAAACTACACTGTATGGTTTATGTTAGGGAAAGATTGTGGGTGAAAAAAGGCTGTATGTCTGTAATAAGACTTTAATCTTTAATCAATCATACTTTCTGCCACCCTACATAAAACGTAAATTATCCTCTGTGAGGCGCAGGATCACCTAATACAGATAGGACTGCTAAAAATATCGGGTTGTTTTTTCACTGTTTTTGATATTTGGGAGGAAAATGGCAGACTTCAAATAACATCCTGCAAACTGGAGCACATGTAGCACACACACACACATTAGCATAATAGTTTTGGGATTTTGAGGATGAAAAAAATCCCTCCCCAAAAAAGACTTGAGCACTCCATTGGATTTCATCACTGACTGCAGTTCCTTCTGAACTTCCAAACGCAGCTCGACTATAACTACTATGTCCACTCCAAACTCATCAGCAGCAATGTAGTGCAATGGTGCTCCCTGAGGACTCTGAGCTGAGTTTTTTTTCCTTTAAGACAAGCTAATGAACAGAAATGGATACGACGATTACATAAAAATGCAGTCTTGTCAAATGGTTGAAATGCAAGGATATGGTTGTAAAAAAAGCACGATAAATGAAAACTCTAGAGAGACACAACAGAAACTGAAGGCGAACTCAAGCAAAGAGGAAGCAGGGAAACAAAGAGGGAAGTTTTGATGATGTGCAAAAACACCTTTAAGTAATAAAAGTTGCAGAGGACAGGGAGATATGCCAATATGAGTTGAGAGATGTGAAGAGACACCTGAGGGCGGAGAAAGAGCTGTGATTACAGGGAGGAAGAAGGAGGACAGAGAGACAGACTAACAGAAGGGAAGGAGGAGACACCTCAGGGATGAAATTATGGAGAGACGGAGAGATCTGAAAAGTATGGAAAAGAGGGGGAAAGATGGAAAAGCAGAGATGGAGGAAGGGACGAGAAAAATTATCGTTAGAGAGAAGCAGATATGGTGAGACATTACAGCTCAGATGGGACGGAGAACATGAAAACAAAGTCCCCGCTGAGTGTGCATCTCTAATTATCACCAGGCCCGAGAGGTGTTTGTGTGTGTGTGTGTCTTTGGGGGGAGGAGGGAGAGGGAGGTTATTATAAAGTTTGTATTAACAGTTATTCCACAAGTTGGACTATAGCAGAGTTATTAAAACAGAAATATAATGACATACCAAACAAACTGTTTTAATAATATATGCATCTGCAATGCAACATATTACAAGTAGCCTGAGATTGTAGAGGTGATACTCAGTAAGCTGTAACTTATAATATATTAACACAAAATCACCGTAAGTACATGTTGCTGTCATAAGTGGCAACCACATAACATTTAGCATCTGCATCAAAATGGACGAGAAAGGAAGAAAAACACGGTGATTGCAAAAACTGATTCATACTGTATTTCTGAATATAAATCATCTGTCAATTTTCAGATTTGACAAAGGCTAAAGGCTAAAAAAAAAAAAGCAAATAGAAGAAATTGATGACATTTTGTGAAATTTTTTTCAAATGATGCAGTTATCACACAATTAGAATCATGGTGGCAAAACTTGGATATTAAATGTATTTTAAAGCCAACAAAACAAAATTTCTCCTATATACTTCACTGAATAAAGACATATTTGTTTTATTTTGGGGCTTTTATTGCTGTTAATTGATAGTGATATCTGAAGAGTGACAGGAAAGGGGGGAGAGAGAGGGGACTCAGCTCTGTTACATTGGGTTCCCCTGTGTATTGTTCTTTTATACACTTTCTCTGTCACTCCCTTTTAACTCCATCACACATAAACCACCCATTGTGTTTGTTTTTACCTGGTGAGCTCCTCCTTGATTTTCATTGGCTCGTTGGGATAAAACTTGACCCGGAAGCACATCGTGTACGGCTGCTGAGCTGCTGAACACAAGAGAGACACAAGTATGAGAAGACAGTTTAAGAAAAGAAAAAAAGAAAAGAGTTAGAGAGAGGACAGAAAGTAGGTTTGCGAAGAAGAAGAAGTGAAACAGTGGAGAGAGAAAGATGAGAGAAAGATGAGAGAAGAATTATAGAAGGAAAGTAACTGGTTTCAACGAGGAGAGGAGAAGAAAAAGGAGAGGAGAGAGATAAAAGAAAAGAAGAGAGTGAGAAATGGAGCAGAACATTGAGGATTATGTAAAACTGGAGAGAAAAAGAAGTTGGAGACAAAAAAAGAAATCGCGGTATGCCTCTAATACTGATTAGTCATTTGATAATTACAGTAATTACTCATCACAAACACACACACAC